GCCATTTGCCTTCGAATCTTGTTTAGGACGAAGGTGTCACACACGTAGGCAGAGAGAAACACATAGAGATAGAGCAGAGAGATGCTCTTGCCATGACAAGGCTTTAATGTTTGTATGGTCAGATCAGTGGCTTTTCTTCATTTTATCTAGGTTGCATAACACACTTAGGAACACATTCCCATCCCAAGGTTAGTATGCAAGTGGCTCCTGGCTTATGAATGAAGTCCGTTCCTAAGTGTGTCTTTAAGTCAAGTTTGTAAGGAAATAGAAACTAGTGCATAAAGGTGCAAGAAAAAAGGCTCAGTGTTACAGTAGGTTAAGCACTGGGCTGCCAACTGCATGGTGGGCAGTTCAAAGTCACCAGACTCGAGGGAGAAAGCTGAGGCTATCTGCCCCTGTAAAGATTAAGCGTTGGAAACGTTGTTAAGAAGCAGTGTTACTCTGTCCTGTAGTGTTGCAGAGTCAAAATCTAATGGTAGTGGGTTTGGTTTTATTTTTTAGTGCAAGAAAAGGCTAAAAGCCTTTCCGATGATATCACAGTGCACATGCAGCAAATGAAGGTGATTGTGATGAAGAATATTTTTTGAGTAGGGGTTGGTTCAGTAATTTCAAAGTTAGGGCAAAATTACGTAATGTTAAAGGGCAAGTAGACGTTGTCTCTAAGCTCCTAGCCTGGGACTGCCTATATATGATCCAGTTTACTGTGATTCTTCTATGGTTTTATTAGTGAACCCACTTTGAAGCTTCTTCTATAATCAGTCATATAGAAAAATCAAACATAAGCCCTGTCCCCACTGCCTTCTAGAAGTGCATATAGCTCATGGTCTGTCATCTCTAAAGCTTTTTCTTCTATTGTCTTTTTGTACAACCTTCCCTCCCATTCCTACATTCTATTATTTAGCTTTTGTAGTTTCTTTCTAGTCCTTGGTTTATCACTTTCTATCTTTTAATAATCCCTTCTCTCCTCCCATCAGAAGATAAAACCATAGGATAAAGACAAAAAGCTCTAGTTAAAAAATATTATATTTCTTTCATTTACCACATACTGCTGTTTTGAAAACAAACACATGTAAAAATCTAGCTTTTGAGTGTTTTGGCACTTATAATTATTATAGCCATGAACCAACAACTATGGTGGAGGTTTATTTTGCCCAACTAATCACACCTCCTTAAACATTTTTAAAGTTAATCCAAAGCTGTCAAGACTCCAAACTCTGGCCTAATATTCATATATTGTTGTTGTTAAGTGCTGTCGAGTCATAGCAACCCTGTATAGGATTTCCAAGGAGTAGCTGGTGGGTTTGAATCTCTAACATTGTGGTTCGAAGTCCAGTGCTGATTCTATAGCACCACACGAGAACTCCAGTATCCATACCGGAATTTCAATATTCACACCCACAAAGCACTTAAATCCAGAAAGGCTAATGTTTTAAAAATAAAGATTTGATGATAAGTTTAATGTTAAAATATTCATGAGTTAGTTTTACAGTTTAATATTCATATGTAAAGTGCGAAACTCATGAATATTTTAACATTAAAAATTCTTAACTTGTCTTTATTTTTAAAACATTAGGCTTTCTGGATTTAAGTGATTTGTGTGTGTGTGTGTATGTGTGTTGATCTCAATGAAGAACCAAACTCATAGCTGGCAAGTTGATTTCTGACTCACAGTGACCCTATAGGACCGAGTAGAACTGCTCCATGAGTTTTCTGAGACTGTAAATCTTTACCGAAGCAGATTGCCTTGTCTTTCTCCTCCTGAGCATGGTGGATTTGAACCGCTGACCCTTTGATTAGCAGCCAGACTTTTACCACTGCGCCACCAGTGCTCCTCAGTGAAGAACAGGGGAAACAAAATTCATACTTTGTGACTTTCTGCTATCTCTTGTTAAACTGTTAAGCACCATTGAGTTGATTCTTTACTAACTCTAGAAACTAGTTTATTAAAGTTATGGACACAGTTTCATTATGAAATAAGTAGGATGATTTTTTTTTTTCTTTCATAACAAAAAGTCTCGAGACTGAAATATTTTATGTTTGTTTGGTCCTTGGCCCAAACTGTTGTATAAGAATGGAAATGTTTTAAATTAAAAGTACGTATGAAAAACAGCTAATCCTTAAAATTGCAAATTTACTATCCGCAAACTGAGTCTTATCTTTTTCAGTAGTGACTTTTCCTCCTCTGTCACTCTTTTTCAACAAAAAAGAAGTCTGTAGCATTCAAAGTTAAATGCTTAAATAAAATCCAGCAAATGGCATACCATTGCTCTAAGGGTGATTCTGACTCATGGCAGTGTGCCGGGGCTGAGTACCACCAGCCCTGTCTTCCAATGTACCTCTCTCTGTGTGGACCCAAAACCTTCAAGCTTCTGCTTAGCCCTTTGCACAACTCAGGAACTTTAGGCTGTCTCATGGGATCTACATTATAATCTGCTTCAGAAGCACATACACTTCACTTTGGTCAGGATTTATATTATTGTTCATAAAAGGTTAAATAAAATATCTGTATTGATTAATTTAAAATACCCAAACCTGATAACTTTGAGAATGAGAGTTTATTGTAAAAAGAGAAATTTTGTTTTTAGCTCTTAAATTTATCTGTTTATAAAACTTAATTTTAATTTTGCTGTTTTATCACGTTAACATGGTGGGACGGGAGGTGGTATTGTATCTGTACTGTGCGGATATTGGTGAGGATCTGAAAGCAAGGAAGTGTAGATATTTTACATTTATATGAATTTGTCTGTGGAAGGGTGGTGAATGTGCAAAGTTATTAACATTTATTTTCCTTTTAAGTTTCTCTTCTGGGGCTGTGCATTAACTCCTTTCTACCTATTGATAGTGTCTTAAAGCTCCTTTGGTCCCCCCCCCCCCCCATTACTGTTTTAAAATCCTTTGAAATTTTGAAGCCTACTTTATCTAAAGGAGCTTGTTCCATAGCTAATCCTAGATGTATAACCTTGAAATTGGTCACTCAGTAGAAGTTTGACATGCCTTTAGACTCTTCTTCAGGTGACTTTACATTAGCAGACTGTAAACTCTATATAAAAGGACCAGATAGCATGTATTTAGGTCACTTTACAGTGATTCCTGTCACAACTACTCAGCTTCTCTGTAGTGTAAAAGTAACCATGTTGTTCTGTGCTATTATGTCGGTTTTGCTGTTATGACCTAGTCGACCCTGTCTAGGGTTTCTGAGGAGCAGCCTAGTGGGTTTGAAGCACAGATCTTGCATTATCCTGCAGCATCACACCAGGACTCCAAAAGTAACCATAGCAACACAAAATCAAATGGGCCTGTAACTTTATTTAATAGTTGTTGCATAGTGAAAGAGGTGGTCTGTGAGCTGTGGTATCAGTTTGGCAACCACTGTTTTAGGAAATTGTTGTTATTAAAATGTGCTGTAAAGTTGGTTCTGACTCACAGCGACTGTATACGGTTTCTGAAGGAGTCCTGGTAGTGTAGTAGGTTGCACGTTGGGCTTCTGATTGCAAGGACAGTTCAGATTCACCAGCAGCTTCTTGGGAGAAAGATGGGGCTTTCTGCTCCCGTAAAGATTTTCAGCCTCGGAAAGCCTGTACAAGGTCACCATGAGTTAGAACCAACTTGACAGCACAGCTCCACCACCATAGGATTTCTGAGGAGCAGCTGGTAGGTTTGAACCACTGACCTTGTGGTTAGCAGTCCAGTGCTTAACCTGCAGTGCCACACCAAGATCCCTTATTATAAGTTGATAGAGGATGATAGAGAAGGAACCAGGCTCAGAAGTAGAAGCTTGTTTGTAAAAATTTATTCCCCCAGCAAACCTTAGCAGCTAACCTGAGTCAAGAATTGCTCTAGGCAGTGTGATTAAGCCCATGAAGTTCCTTCCTGTCCTCTTGAAATTACATTTCCTAGCTAGTACACATCTTTAGTTGTTCATCAATCCTTGTATTAGTTAGAAACACTATATAACAAGTAGTATGAGTCCTGGTAAGGAGCTCTGGTAGCGTAGTGGTTACGAATCGGGCTGCGAACCTTAAGGTCAGTGGTTCGAAACTACCAGCCGCTCTGCGGGAGAAAGATGAGGCTTTCTACTCCCGTAAAGATTTACACCCTCGGAAACCCTGTACAGGGTCGCTATGGGTCGGAACCGACTCGACGGCACTTAACAACAACAAATGGTGCTGTAGGATAATGCACCTGACTGAAATGTCAACTTGAGCCACAAGGTTCGTAGTTCAAATTCAACAGCCGCGCCTTGGAAACACTGTATAGGGTCGCTATGAGTTGGAACCGACTTGATGGCACTTAACAACAACAACAGGTTGGCTTTATGTAATTTCCTAAAAGAAGATACATAAAAAACACTGTGTAAAAAGTTAGAAAGACCAACTTAAAGTAAGATATCCCTGTAGTTCTAAGTTAGTGGTTATAATTTCAAGTTAATGGTTATCAAACTGAACTATACATTAGAGTCACCTGCAATGATTTGAAAAACTATCACATCTAAGTCAATTAAATAAAAATATATGGGAGTACTGTATGTGCCAATGGAATGAACTTCACATTTGATAAAAATCTTACATCTAAAATGGTAGAAAACTTTTATTTGGGTGCCTTTTTCTAGAGATGAGATTGTTGTTGTTGTTGTTATGTGCTGTGGAGTCAGTTCTGACTCATAGTGACCCTGTACAGGGTTTCCGAGGCTGTAAGTCTTTACAGGAGCAGAAAGCCTCATCTTTCTCCCACGGGACAGCTGGTAATTTCAAACTGCTGACCTTGTGGTTCGCAGCCCAATTTGTAACCACTACGCTACCAGAGCGCCTTAGAGATGAGATGAGTGTTTATTAATTTTATTTAATGAAATATTTGTCAGTTAAAGAAATTCTAGGTTTCAAGTGAACTTGCGCATTGATTTTTTTTAATAATGCCATTTGATTTTCTCCTCTAAAATGCTATGTTAAAATACTGTTAATTTTACTTTGCTTTATTTAATAATAGTTGATTGTCACTTTTAGGATACTGCTGGTCAAGAGAGGTTCAGAACATTAACTCCCAGCTATTATAGAGGTGCTCAGGGTGTTATATTAGGTAAGTGTGTATTTTAATACTTTAAAAAAAGATGTCTGTTAATTATAAATTATAGGAATTTCCAGTTTTTATAGTCTGTAAGTCAATAAGTTTTTCTTTTTCTTTTTAGGGCTTCTATTATATTGCTTAGGAGTCCTGGTGTGGCACTGTGGGATAAAGCACTGGATCACAAGATTGGTTTGAACCCCAAGTTCAGCGGTTCAAACTCACCAGCCACTTCTCGGAAACCCTATACAGCGTCACTATGAATTGGAACCAACTCAACAGCACTTAACAACAACAAACAACATTATGTAGCTTAAGGTTATATTAACCTCACTTAATACTGTTGTTAAGTGCAAGTGAGTTGGTTCAGACTCATAGCGACACTGTTTCCAAGGACCAGCTGGTGGGTTTGAACTGCTGACCCTGTGGTTCAAAGTCCAGTGCTGATCCTACAGCCCCAAACCAGGAGTACTCATTTAATGTTGTTGTTGTTGTTAGGTGCCATTGAGTTGGTACCGACTCATAGCAACCCTATGCACAACAGAACGAAGAAGCATTGCCTGATGCTGCGCCAACCTCACAGTTGTTGCCACGCTTGAGCCCATTGTTGCTGCCATTTTGCCAGTCCATCTCGCTGGGGGTCTTCCTCCTTTTCTCTGACCCTCCACTTTACTGAACATGATATCCTTCTCCAGTGACTGGTCCCTCTTGACAATATGTCCAAAGTATGAGAGACGAAGTTTGGACATCCTGACCTCCAAGGAGCACTCTGGCTGCACCACAGATCTGTTTATTCTTTTGGCAGCCCATGACACTTTCAATATTCTCCAGTACCATAACTCAAAAGCATCAATTCTTCTACGGTCTTCCTTATTCATAACATTTAATAATAATGAATGTTAAGACTTACTTAACATGCTGCCTAGCAATTAAAAAATAAAGATTAAACTAAGTTATTTCATTTAAAAGCACATGTTGATGAAGTAGAATCTGTCTTATGAAAAAACAGCACTTAACACTATTGGCTTATAATCAAACAAAATTTCAAAACCAAATGTGGATTCTCCGTGTAGTTTGTTGACAAATGTTGTCCTTAATATTCACAGGGAGCTGTTGATTAATTGTAGGCATGAATGCTTTTTATATCATGATGTATGCATCTTTGGTTGCATTTTTGTTAACGTGACAGTGACTCTTATTTTCATTCCGCATCTTTTAAGTTTAGAAAACACTTTAAAAAGTTCTTTATTAACCAACATGATATACGATATAAGTGATAACAGGAGGACAGTAAAAATCCCATCTATACGTATTTTTTCAAAGTTGAAAATTCTGGTCCTTGAAAGAAATAAGCAAAGAGGGCCATAAATGTTTAAATTCCCCCCAAATTCTTTGTTTTTTGGCTTTATATGCAAGTCTAAGCACTTTTTTGTACAACCTATTTTTTCATTATGAATGAGGACAGCTGTTATTTTGCTTAAATTAATTTTCAGGTATCACACAATATATTTTCATTTATCTCAGAACATCTGCTAATAAAATTGAAGTGTTTGTGGTATATGATTTTTTTTTTTTTCTTCTAACATACTTGATTATTGCACCTGAGTCATAGACACTGATTGTTAAGCATAGCAAAAATACAGATTGCCCATATGGTAATTTTAGCTCTTACTGCACTTCAGAAATTTAGTATCATTGCTTCTTACTTTTATTGCTTACTTAATAAACAACTCTTCCTTTTTATTTCAGTTTATGATGTCACAAGAAGAGACACCTTTGTTAAGCTGGATAATTGGTTAAATGAATTGGAAACATACTGCACGAGAAATGACATAGTAAACATGCTAGTTGGAAACAAAATTGATAAGGTAAGAAGGCAGACACGTGGCATTTGGGCCCAATATTTTAATAGTTTGTCTTAATCTTTGCATTTATCTTTTAGGAAAATCGTGAAGTTGATAGAAATGAAGGCCTGAAATTTGCACGAAAGCATTCCATGTTATTTATAGGTAGGTGTGTGGAGATTATTCTTCCCTTGTTAATGGAGAATTTTAAAATGGAATTTCTGCCACAATTATCTTTTTATGAAACTTAAGGTATATTTGTTGAGTCTTTTGCTATAAAATTTGTTGAGTCTTTTACTGTAAAATTTCACTTTAGTATCAGGCTCTTTATTTTTTATTCTATAAAAATAAAATAGGACAACATTATGTGAAGTCAGATAAAACACAATCAAATAATGCCTATCAAGATTTAACAGCATTCATTAAGAACCTGGCACAGGCAAACTCCCAAGCCCACTGCCGTCAAGTCATTTCTGACTTGTGGATTCTCTTATAGTCTCTCAATGCTAAAATGGTGCTTTGCTGGTCCAGGTGCTTAGTAGCAACAACATAAGTATTAGAAATGCTTAACCTCAGGCCCTTCCCCACATTTTCTGAATTAGAACCTACATTTGAAAAGATCTTCATGTGATTCATATACATGTTAATGTCTTAGAAGTATTGTAGAACCAAACTAGTTGTTGTTAGGTGCCATCAAGTCCAATTTATAGTGACCCTTTGCACAACAGAACGAACACTGCCCAGTACTGGGCCAACCTCCCAATTGTTGCCTCACTTGAGCCCATTGATGCTGCCACTTTGCCAGTCCATCTTGTTGGGGGTCTTCCTCTCCTTTTCTGACCCTCCGCCTTACCAAATATTATAATCCTACTCCAACAACTGGTCCTTCCTGACAACATGTCTGAAGTATGAGAGATGAAGTCTGGCCATCCTAGCCTCCAAGGAGCACTCTGTCCATACTCCTTCCAACACAGATCCGTTTGTTCTTTTGGTAGCCCATGGCACTTTCAGTATTCTCCTCCAACACTGTAACTCAAAAGCATCAGTTCTTCTACGATCTTCCTTATTCACTGTCTAACTTTCGCATGCATATGTTGTTGTTAAGTGCCTTTGAGTTGATTCTGACCCATAGCAACCCTGTATAGGGATTTCGAGGCGTGACTAGTGAGCTTGAACCACCAACCTTGCAGTTCAAATGGCGTTGCAGTCTGGCGCATTAACCCACAGTTAAGTATTGAAAATACCATGGCTTGGGTCATGCGTACCTTAGTCCTCAAGCTGACATCTTTATTCTTCAACACTTAAAAAAAGGTCTTTTACAGCAGATTTGCCTGATGCAATACATTGTGTGATTTCTTGGCTGCTGCTTCCATGAGTGTTGATGGTTGATCCAAGAAAAATGAAGTCTTTGACAACTTCATTCTTTTCTCTGTTGATAAGAATGTTGTTTATTGGCCCAGTGGTAAGGATTTTTGTTTTCTTTACATTGAGATTCAATCCATACCAAAGGCTATGATCTTCATCAGTAAATGTTTTAAGTCCTCTTCACTTTTAGCAAGCAAGGTTGTATTATCTGCATATCTCAGGTTGTAAATGAGTCTTCCTCCAATCCTGACGCCATGTTTTTCTTCATATAACCCAGTTTCTCAGAGTATTTGCTCAGCATACAGTTGAATAAGTATGGTGAAAGAATACAACCCTGTCACACACCTTTCTTAATTTTAAACCGTTAAGTGTTCCCATGTTCTGTTTGAACAGCTGCCTCTTGGTCCAGGTACAGATTCCTCATGAGCACAATTAAGTGTTCTGGAATACTCATACTTCGCAACGTTGTCCATAGCTTGTCATGATCCACACAATCGAAGGCCTTTGTATTTCAATAAAGCACCAGTAAACATCTTTCTGATATTCTCTGCTTTCAGCCAAGATCCATCTGATGTCATTCCACATCCTCTTCTAAATCTGGCTTGAATCTCTGGAAGTTCTGTGTCAGTATATGGTTGCAGCAAAGTATGAGCCAAATTTGGGTGTGTCTTCTAAATAAAACCTTTTATTGTAGCTCAGCCATGCCTATTTGCCTATTTATCTATGGCTGCTTTTATGCTACAGAGGTAGGGTTCAAAAGTTGTGCCTGTATGTCTGCAATGCCTAAGATACTTACTGACTAGCCCTTTACAGAGTAAGTTTGCTAATCCTGGTCTAAATCAAGACAAGGCCAGCTTGTGCAGTGGTTAAAGCACTCAACTGCTAACCAAAAGGTTGGTGGTTTGAAGCTGTCTTCTACTCTGAGGGAGAAAGATGTGTCAGTCTGCTTTTGTAAAGATTTATAGCCTTGGAAACCCTAACAGGCAGTTCTGCTTTGTCCTATAGGGGCATTATGAGTCAGAGTCTAATCTCTGGCAGTGGGTTTGGTTTTGGGTTTTTATCTAGAATAGTAGACGTAATTAGAATCATTTGGGGTGCCTTAAAACTTACAGGTCCCTGGGCTTTATTGTAAGAAGCCCTGGTGGTGTAGTGGTTAAAGCATTGGACTGCTAACCAAAAGGTTAGCAGTTAGAATCCACCAGCTACTCGGTGGTAGAAAGATGAGACATTCTGCTTCCAAAATAAAGAATTACAACCTCGGAAACCCTGTAGGATCACTGTGAATTGGAATTGACTCAAATGCAGTGGGTTTTGATTTTGGTGGGCCTTATTGTAGATAAGAAATAGAGCCTACAAGAGGATATATGAAAGGACCCTAGTTCAGTAAAAGGAATTGAGAGAGCCTCATTTATAGGTAGGAAAAGGGAAGGGAGTTTTAGAAAGGAATTTAAGTGTTGCTGCTAATGAGTACGTGATGGGTGTCCATTTCTATACATTGTTTGTTTAATAATAACTTAGTGAACACTGAAGCTGTAAAATAAACAAAATGGACAAACTCCTTGTCCTTATACAGCTTGCATTCTAGTAGGGGAGACTACTAGACTATAAGTGGTTTCTATGAATGGGTAAAAATAAAATTATAAATTTAGAGAGAATAACCAGTGGTGGGAGGCAATTATGGAAGTTCTTCGAGGCAATATCATTTCATCTGTCATGGGAGGAAGATAAAGAGGAAGATCATCTCAGGCCAAGAAATTAAATATTCTCTGAGATAGGAACCAGCTTAGTGTGTTTAAACAAACAGGATAAAAGCTTGTGTGCTGGAGCATGATATGAGGGGTCTTCAAAAAGTTTGGAAAAATGGAATTTAAAGATAATGCAATTTTTCGATGAACTTTTTGGAGTTCCTTTGTAATGTGTTGCTGGGATGGGTAGTGATAGTAGGAGGTGAGATTAGAAAAGGATGTGGAGTAAAGAGGTGGATTTTAGTCTTAAGTGTGGTGGAAAGAAGAGTGTTAGTGATGATGTAATCTGATATTCTTTGAAAAGATCATTTGTGTAGAAATGGGTTATAAGAAGAGGAAACAAGTGGCTAGTTATTCTCTTGCATTGGTCCAGATAATTGATGTTGGTAATTTTGACTAAGGTAGCAGTAGTGAGTGGTGGAAAGTTAGCAGAAAAAGTTGACAAGAAGATATGTTGGTAGATTGAATGTGGAAGATAAGAAATAGCATTCACAGATAAATTGGGTTTTGGCATGAGTAACTAGGTGAACTGTGCTGCCAATAGCTGGGATGATGAAGACTGAATGAGCTAAGAGCAGGTTTGGGTAGGATAATTGGGAATCAGGAATTCTGTTTAGAGATAAGAATGAGCTGCCTTTCATATATTCAGTAGACACTCTGATCATTGGCATTTAAGATTGTAGGATTGGAGCAGTCACTTCAGGAAAGAATGTAGATAGTTAAGAAGTCAGTAGAAAGATGAAGCACCAACAAATAAGACTGTGAATGACATGCTAGTGAGATGGAGAATTACGAGGAGTGTTTTGTGTCCTGGGAGTTAAAGTGAACTAAGTATACTTAAGAAAAGGGGAGGCTGTCAGCAATGTTAACTCCTACAAGAGGACAAATAAGGTAAAGCCTTCCTCACAATAACTAACAACATGAGATCAAAAGGGCAGCATGACTGCAGAGAGGCTGAAAAATTTGTTGGTGGGATTATTAGATACTTTGCCAGATTACTTCTGCTTTTCTCAGCCTAAAACTAAAAATTAAGCTGAGGTGGAAGAGTTGTTTTTTTGTTTGTTTTTTTTTTTTCAGTTAATTTTTATTCTGAGTGAAGGTTTACAGAGCCAGATCATCAGTTTTACATTAGACAAATCATACATTTCATTTCACCTTGATTACAATCCCCTCAGTGTAACATCACTTATCCCACTTCCTCCCTGTGTTTCTTCTTTCCATTCCTCCTTCTTTCCCCACCCTTCTGATTTTTGTCCTTCTTTGAGCTGCCCCTTTGATCTTGAATGGTTGACCATTCCATGGTATATGTACCTCCCTAGGGTTGTTCCTTCTGTATACCTATCTAGAACTTAGCTTGAAATTGTGCTATGAGGTGAATTCAGTTACAGACCTAAACCATAGGGTTCTACCAGTCTCTCTCTGACAGTAAAGCATGTTCTTTTATTGTTTGTAAGTTTTGTTCCATATTTTCTCCCATTTTATCCAGGACCTTGATCCCTTTCAGAGCAGTTGGCATTGACAACTGGGCATCACCTAGTTCTTCTCTCCTCAGGGTTGTGGAGATTGATGTTCATGTAGTCCATTTGTCCATTGGACTAATTGTTTCCAAACATCTGAAGTTTTCCTTATTCTTCCTTCATCCAGACAGGGAGAAAGCAGCACCTTAGATAGTAGCTCATGAGCTTTTTTTTTTTTTTTCTTCATTTATTATGTTTATTGATTATGGGATTTCAAATGCTAAAAGGAATGTTAAATCACTGCTTCTGGAGTAAAACTAAAAGCACACACATCCTCCATGATTCTTTACATATTGAAGACATGTCTTTATGTACAGTAAATATCTTTCTAGTATTCTTTATTTTCAACCAACATTCACCTGATCTCACATCCTCTCCTGAATCTGGCTTGAATTTCTATCAATTCCCTATTGCTGCAACTGTTTTTGAATTGTCTTCTGCAAAATTTTACTTGCATGTGATTTTAATGTTTTAAATTTACATGAGACAAATTTAAATTTAAAAATTAAAAAAATTAGAACAGTATGTGTTCAATGTTGTTTGCATTTCATTGGGTCACTCTTATTTGAAATAGGCACAAATATGGCTCTCTTCCAATTGATTGGTTGGTAAAGTAGTTGTCTTCCAAATTTCTTGGCATAGACAAGTGATTGCCTCCAACATTTTATCAATGTGTTGTGAGATTTCTGTTTGACTTGGTTTTCACCAATGCCTTAAGTGCAGCTTGGGCTTTTTCCTTCAGTTCAATCCAGTTCAATCAGTTGTTGATCATATGCTATAACCTCTTGAAATGCCTGAACACCTGCCAATTCTTCTTCTTTTTTTTTTTTTACTTTTATTATGTATTGAGTGAAGGCTTACAGTTTTATATTCAGGAAATCATTGTAATAATTAAAATCCCTTCCAAGTACACACCCTTAGCCAGCAGTATTTGCCTCTATTGCCCCCCCTTTTTTTTTTAATGTACACATACCACATTGAAAATACATATTCCTTTAAATGTCCAAAGGTTACATTTTGCAAGTCAGCCTCCTGCCTGCAGACACATCATGAGCTTTTAAGAACCCGGTGCTCACTTCTCACCAAAGTAGGATGTAGATTATCTTTGTGGACTATATTATGCCAGTTGACCATGGTGTCTCCTGAGATTATGGGCTGGAATCCTTAGGCCTATCAAGGTGTTTGGTTGAGATAGAGAAGTTTTGAGATGAAGTAATCAAATAGCCGTCTCATAGAATGAAAAAAAAAAAAATGTAATTCACTAGAAAAATGCAATCCTGAGTGTGCTGTTGAGTTTCATGAGCATTAAATTTAAAATGGAAGCAGTCTCAGTCTCATGGTTTTAGGTTATTTTGTCCAGCCACATGCTTTGCAGCAGTCACAGAATAACTAGATTAATGGTTTAAGTTAGAGCCTCAATTCTCTTAGTCTAAAATGACAGAAATATCTTTCTGGGGATACTTTTAAGAATTAACTGAAAATTAAAACTTTTGGCACTTAGCATAATATTTGAATACAGTTCCATTATAGAAAATTGGAGCTTACATATCAATATTTAATATGATTAAAATAGCTCTGTTTTAAAAGCTGGGGACATTTACTAATGATAAACCTTTGGAGTCCTGGTGTGCTGTGGGTTAATGTGCTGGACTACAAGGTTGGTTTGAACTGCAAGGTTTGGCGGGTCAAGCTCACTAGCCACTCCTCAGAAACCCTATACAGGGTCGCTATGGGTCTGAAACAGTTTGATGGCACTTAACAACAACAAACCTGTGGAGAGAAATTGTCAATTTGGCTCTTGATAAATTTATGCCGTTATAATTTCCCATTTTAAAAAAACACACAGGACTATGGGGCTGGGAAAGACTATATATCATAACAGTTTTTCCTTGAATTTCAGAGGCAAGTGCAAAAACCTGTGATGGTGTACAATGTGCCTTTGAGGAACTCGTTGAAAAGATCATCCAGACCCCTGGACTATGGGAAAGTGAGAACCAGAATAAAGGAGTAAAACTGTTGGACAGAGAAGAAGGCCATGGAGGAGGAGCGTGTGGTGGTTACTGTTCTGTGCTATAAACTCTGGGAAATTCCATCTCTGCCATAGTTGATCAGATAATGACATCTTTCTGTATATAAACTCTTTAACTGCTATTTTAGGGACCTTGCAGTTTGCACATATTTGTT